TGACCATAAAGTGAGAAACGTGATATAAATAATTCATCACTAAGTAAGTGCCAGGCATGGCAGTGAGAGATTCAAGAAATGACTGTTTGTTTTCCTTTTAATGACTCCTGAAGCAAAATCGGAGAAGCTCTCAGAACTAGCAAAGGGAAGAAGAGGCTACATAAAACAACAACAACGAAACAAAACAAAAAACCTGGATGTAACACAGTGAGCACTGCAGAAAAGCAATGGCTTTGGGGCCACGTGACTTGTATAAGGGTCCAGATTTGTGTCAAACTTCAGGGTGACATTGAGTCAGGTCTTTGCCTTCTCTGGGCCTCAATTTCTTCATCTATAAAATGAAAATAAAGTTAATGTGATACGTGGAGATCAGGATTCACTAGACTAGTGTTATTAAAGTGGAGTTTATTTAGGGAAAGAGCTTACACAAAACAAGTGACTGTTGTGGAGTCCTGCTCCTGTGATGCCGACCCTGCCACCCTGAAGCTCACAGCGCAAAGAAGGGCCTCTGAGACCTGCTACTATTCCTTTTAACCGGTCATGTCTGCACCTGTGACCACCCCCTTATATTTACTTTATAAGGTTGATCTATGGATTAAATGGGGTATCTTACAAAAGTGCAGGAATTTACTAGATATTGAAAAGTAGCTTGTATCTGAATCCATTTTTCTATTGCTGTACCAAAATAGAAGAAGCTGAGTATATTATAAAACAATTTATTTAGCTTATCTTCTGGAAGTTCAAGGTTGAGAAGTTGCATCAATACAGGCCCTCTTGGTGGTTAGGACTCTGCAATCAAGAACAAGCAGGATCTCTTTTCTACTTATAGAGCCACCAATGCAGTGGTGAGGGATCCACCCTCATGACCTCTCTGGATCTAAATTACCTCCTGAAGGTGCTAACTACACATACTATTAACATATGACTTTGAGAGCTAAGTTTCCAACACAAGGATTCTAAAAAGACAAATGGATGCAGGTAGAAGAAGAGCCAAGCTGCCAGAGGTGTCCCAAATTGCCTTCATGTTTTCGCTCTTGATGTTGCTGCTTGTCTATTCAGTGACTAAATAGCCTCTTTCTGTACTTATTTGCATTGAACAAATAAAATGAAGCAAATGTATTTAGACATGACTAAATGCACTTATGATAATTTTATCAAAACAATTTTTTTTCAAAATGAAAGATTATCTACTCAAGAATCAGCCAGACCCAAGTCAAAGCTTTCTCCTTCAATTTCTAAATAAGTGGTGTTGCTATTGGACAGAGTTCTCCAGACTCCCCAAACCTGTTTCTCACATCTATAAAATAATCACAATAATAACTACCTCATATTTTTGCTGTAAATAATAGATGCAATTATACAGGTACAGTACTTAAGTATAATAGCATTTATATAACATGTGTTTGTGCACCAGTCACTGGCTTGTGCCCTTGAATTGTATTTAACTTACTATAGTCTTCACAACAGCTTTATGAAGTAAGTACTATTATTATCCTTGTTTTGCTGGTGAGGAAGCTAGGAATGGGAATGCTAAATAATTTGCTGAGGGTCACAAGTTGACAGATGTTGGACATGGCCTCAGGAAATCTGGGCTATTTGCTATTTTGAGATTTCTACCCCACCCTCCCTCTGTAAATGGTAAATATTCAATACTTACATTTTCCATAGGGGATAATTATCCTTTTTTGAAATTTCACAGCATTGTGTTTTTATTTTAAGAAATTTTGGTTAAAAATTAAATAATCAGGAGTATTCTCACAAAATTACATTAATGATAAACCTCAGATTTTTCATCTTTCTAGCCATGACTTAAATTTTTAGTAGCAACTCACTGTGGTGGTAGAACTATGTAGTTAATGTAAACACAAGTTAATAATGCAATTCACATACTTCATGGGGAAGTAGAAACACATTTATCAAAATCCACAGAGGAGGCAGGATATCTTTACAGAATAACAAACATTTTGGTATTTTTATTTTTTAGACAAGAATCTACCATGGCCTGTAGATATTTTTAAATTAAAATGTACCTTTCTTATAAAATATATTAAATTTTGTAAGTATTTTTCTAAAAATACTAATATTTTCTGATTTTAGTATGTGAAGAAAATCACCATGGTAGCTGAAATCGCAACATTCAGGCAAAATTTTCCATCTTCTCTTGACAAAACTCATGTTCACCTCTGCTTTTTCTTCACTCACCATACACTGAGAACACACACACTTGGGCCAGATAGGAAGATACTCAAAGAAAAAGACATAGCCTTCTTCTGTGCAGACACTCACATTGTCAACTAATTACAACCGGTGGAAAGCTGGATTTTCCAGAATAGGGATTTGACAGCTGAACATGAAAGCAGGAGAAGAAGATGGGAGGGGAAGGATATTGCAGTGAGCAAGCCTTGCAAGACAAGGACTTGAGGGTGGAGATTGGAATATGTTGTAACTGATACTGATTCCTGGAACATAGTAAGAGGCCAGCAGATAAATACACACCATTGATTACATCATGTACAGGTACCCTGGAGTTAAAGAATTTTCATCCCAAGAGTGGGGAAGAATGAGCCCATCCATGTCTTTAGAACTTTTCCTGGTTTTGCACAGAAGCCAAATTGAAGAAAATTAAGGGCAGATAAATTCAATACCCCTAAGTTCTGTTTGCTATCACAAAAGACAAAGTTCAAATGAAGCAATTGGCAATGCAAAATTGTAAATTGATTAAGGAGGCATCACAGGTCCTGATTTTGAAATCCTAAACCTTCTTTATGAAAATGAAAAAAAAAAAGTTCTTGTTTTCCCCGATCTTGCACATATGATTTATGAACAATCTAGAAACAATTTGTTAAGATTAGTATTTATTGTGCTATTATTCTGTGCCAGGCCCTGTGGTAATACCTCACATGCATTGCCTAATTCTTACTTAATAAATAAGGAATCTAAGGCGTGATAGAAGGAGCAACACCCACAAGGTCACTTTAAAACTCATCCATAGACCCTCAAACTTTTCGTCCTTGACATGGTCTTTGGTCTAAATCAACCCTGTGCTTTTCTTAAAGGAAAAATTCACTCACCTTCTAATCTCTCCAATTACAGCCCAGTCCATGTTCCATAATGATGGTCTTGGCTCTGAAACAATCTCACCCCTACTCATCTACTTTCTCCTAAAATTTCAGCTCTTCATACTGGGCCTTTTAAAATTATTCATACTAGCTATTATTGTGCTAGCAAATTAAAAAATCTTTTGTCAAACTCCACCCACCCACCCTATGTTCATCAAAGCACTGGGCATTAGTAACCACTTTTCTCTTCTTGGAAAATTTTTCTCCCTGTTGAGCATAGCAAAGCTGTTCTTCAGACATCATCACTCGTATTTCAGTAGTTCTTTTCCCATGCTGGCTAGTCTTTCCTAGGGAAAGGCCTGCTCTGCTCCTTTTTTTCTTTCTTTCCTTTTTTCTTTTGTAGCATGAATGTCATAGGCCACTGGTGCTGACTTTCTTTATCTGTCTTTCTTTATTTTTTTTTCCTTGTCTCTGCTTTACTACTTCAACATGAGCCCTCACGTGGCAAATTGGGAGTTTGGGAGTTTCCTGTGTTTCAGTGCCTGGTCTCACACCCATGAAGATATGGAGATATGGGAAGGACTAACTGGACTTAGTGGGTTACTTGAAAAATAAGAGGAGTGTTGATGGAACATGAAGACATTTAGAGGGAGAAAATAGGGGGTTGAGGTGGTCATATTCCCTTGTATACATGCATGAAGTCCTCAAGAATAAAGAAAGAAATGTAAAATAAGGTCCCTTCACTTCCTCTTAGCAGTACAACGCTGGAATATAAATATCTACCTATCTTCTCTTCTCAACACCTTTTTTCAAGACCGAGTTTCAAGGCAACTTTGAAACCAGTTGGCTCAATACCAACTCGGTTTTATGCAGCCTTCCCAAACACTTCCCTGAGGAACCAGCCGCATTCCCTAAGAGTTCCTTCTATAAAGAGGCAAAGTCCACACAGAACTCATTCTGCTGTTGATCTCCAGCTGCCTGGAGTGCTCAGATTTCTTTGTTTAGGAAAATAAATGTCAGTGAATTAAACTGACAGAATGTACTTTGAAGCCTACCACTGTGAACGTGGTGATAAAGGGAGAGGCTTAGTCAGTGGACCTAAGTTCTGGCACACAGTCACCATGACACATTGTGCTCCAGTTCCTGCAGAGCTGGGGAAGCCTCCATCCCAAGCCTGTAAACAGAGCCTCGTGGACCAAAACTTCCCAGTTGCATTAAAGCCACAATATACTAGGCTATCAGCGATGATGACAGTTTAAGCGAAAGAATGACTATGGACCATTTAAGATACCACACAATTGACACTAATCTGCAACAGGAGCCCTGAGAAGATTCTTAAAGCTCTAGCGCTGAAATATGACTCAGGGTTCTTTGGGGTCAGAGCAAAATTAAACTCTCATGTCCAATATTTGTACAAAACACCAGTAAAGATATCACTCACTCTTACCCTACAATAGTATTCGTTTATGAGATGTGAAGTTATGCAAAAACCTTAATACACACACACACACACACACACACACACACACACACACACACAGCATCGTCCCTAAAATTTTGCTTTTGTTCGTTCCTTTGCTTGCTTGTGGTTTAATATTGTTGAGGATGGGAGGAGAAATCTAAGTTCCCCAGTCCCTGGATTAGCTTTTGAGTAGTCCAAGAAACTTTTTTGAAAGTTTTTCTTCCTTCCTTTCTGCCTTTCCTCTGTCAGCTCAGCACCTTCAAGCAACCAGAGTCATGAGAGCAAGCAAATGCTACAACAGCTGAAAGCCTAGAGGGCAAAACTTGCCTCGGGTCTACCCGGGTGCTTGGGGGCAGGTGACACAGTGTCTGTTTCCTAGGCGCTGGTTTAAGAGTTTCATCCCCGCCCACTGGCAAGAGAGCTCCCAGCACTGGCGCACGAAGGGGACCATAAAAGCTGCAGTAGAGACGCGAGCGAGCAGAGCTCGCCCACCACCCGCGGAGCCGCGACCCACCATGCATGTGAACGGCAAAGTAGCCCTGGTGACCGGTGCAGCACAGGGCATAGGCAGAGCTTTCACAGAGGCTCTGTTGCACCATGGTGCCAAGGTAAGGACTTCTCTGTCCGCCCACACTCTGGAGCCCCTAGGGTGCAAAGTCCCAGATTTGCTAGCAGACGTCTAAGCCACTGGCAGAGAACCCGAACTTGGATGAATGCATTCTGAGGTCTAAGAAGGGAGCGTCTTGTTTATTCTATTCGTTGTTTGTGCGTCTACGGCTCTGTAGCAGGAACTGCACACAAGACCTGCTCCCTCTCTGTTCTTATTTGTAGGTAGCATTGGTGGATTGGAATCTCGAAGTAGGTGTAAAGTGTAAAGCTGCCCTGGATGAGCAGTTCGAACCTCAGAAGACCCTGTTCGTCCAGTGTGATGTGGCTGACCAGAAACAACTGAGAGGTAAGACATGGGAAATCTGTCCATAGACTGGGGAACACGCCTTGGGCAAACAGCAACCAAAGATTGCCAGGTAAGAGCCTAGGAGGCTGAGCTCCAGCATTACTCTAGCTCTCTGGAGAAACTGTGACCTTCTGGCTCCAAATGGATAGTTTGAACTGTTGTGTTTCTTTCTGATAATCCATGGCTGTAAAAACTAAGGGAAGACAGGACTGCCTAAGAAATGCTTTTATTTTAGTTACTTGGCAGCACATAATGTAATCAAATGTCTTTTGTGTATTCGAAGACAGTGCTGCTACAATAATTACTCAGTGAGAGGACAGACTGAGGAACTGTGGCAATAGCTCTCAGAAAGCTGGAAGTTGCAGAGTCAATGACAAGCAAACGTGGCATGATTTTCTCTTAAACATCCCAGAGTACAAGCACAAGGGTCACAGGCAAATTAAATGCCTTGAGCCAGATGTTTTCTCTGGGTGCCCCACCCCCACCGAAGGTGGCTCTTAAAATAATAACTGCGTGGTGTTAGAATTAAAGAAAAGACGCTATCGCCTTTCCCCAATGTTTTCCTGTTTTTCTGTGATCTCTTAAAATAGACATGTGATATATCAGGAAGAATATTGGCGTCAGCAATATACACTGGCTATGTATAGAGGGCTCAAGGAATTTCCATAAAGAAAATTTCCCAGGGGGGGAAAAAAAGAAAAAAAATATATTGTTGTTTCACAAGGTATTATTTAAAGGGATGGAGTAAATTGGTAGGCACATTTTCAATCCAGAAGTCAGAAAACTTCCACCAGATTCACTCTAGAGTTTCTATTGAAGGCACACTGAGGTCCTAGTTTTCTTAAATCTTAGTATATCTTGTGAGTAAAATGGACTGACCTGTTAGAAGATAATGAATCTAAAGATGTGGGAAATTGAATCAAATAGAATATCATTAAAATGTGAAAGTGATAATGTATCAGGCAATAGAAAATATGCATGAGTGGGACATATTTTTAAGATTAGTCATACTCTTAGTCTTACTCAAAGTCATAGAACATGCTTTGCCAGAGAATAGTTTTATTGATAGCATATTAATGACATTTAGGATCAAAGAAGACCCACCATTCATACTGCTGGAATCTGGACCAGTATAGATAGTTTATATAGCTTCATATGTAACATTTAATGTAAGTTACTTTGCCAGTATTTAAATTGAGTACCATGGCTATGAACATATTTATTAAGCATAAGTAATTGTAAAGGGAACTCAGACACATAAAACATAGAATTATAAGAAGTCCACTTGTGAAAGGGTGACAGATTCTCACAACTTCAAAACTTAATGCTGCCAGGAGACCTTTGAAACTGTTTAGATCAATTGTAAGAATATGGAGCTGAAATGGTTCTTCATCTAGACTTGTTACTGTACAAATTAACAAATGGAAAGAGAACAGAAAGTATAATAAAGAATACCATACCTTGTAAATTTCAGAGGGAGCTAAACTTTGAAGTCACAAGAGCCAAGATCTCAGTGACACATCCAAACGTAGATGGCAGATGGAGAGATGGCTCAGTGGTTAAGAGCACTAGCTGCTTCCATCAGCTACTAGATGAAGGCTCTAGAATGGCATATAAAGTAGTCATCAATCTCATTATTAAGGAAGGGCATTTAAGTTAGACAAGACCAGGCTGGAGAAACCCATAGAAACTACTGACCTGAACAAGGGGGAACTCATGGACTCCAATCTGATAGCTGGGAAACCAGCATAGGACCAACCCAGATTCCCTAAATGTGGGTGTTAGTTAACAGGACTAGGCTGTCAATGGGGCCTCTGGCAGTGGGTCAGTATTTATCCCTAGTATACCAATGGACTTTGGGAGCCCATTCCACATAGAGAGATATTCCCTCAGCCTAGACACATAGGAGAGGGCCTGGGCAGTGCTCCAAATGGTATGACAGACTGAAGAGACTCCCTATGGAAGGCCTCACTCTCCCTGGGAGCAGAAAGGGGATGGGATGGGGGTTGGTGGGGGTAACAGGGGAGGACAGGACGGTGTGGGAACTACTGGGATTGATATGTAAAACAGACTTGTTTCAAATTTGAATTTAAAAATTATATTTAAATATATATTTAAATATACATATATATATATATATTGTCTAGCTGCTCTTCCAGAGGTCCTGAGCTCAATTCCCTGCAACCATATGGTAGTTCACAAAAAGTAGATGGCACAGAACACTTTGGTAAACTTAAAACAGAAAAAAAGAAAAATCAGACATATTTATTTCATAACTTAATTGCCCAGAAAGTGGGGCTGTCCATGTAGAGGAAAGATCATGAAATCTAAGATAGAAGGAGTGGGGCAGATTAATATTCCTTGAGCTTTTCTGGAACCAATAAGACTTAAGAAATGGTTTTAAAATTCCACTAAAAAGTAAAACGCTTTCTTTTATTGCTATTATTCTTTTTGTTTTCCAACATGGCCCAATGAGTATAAAATGGTGCTTGAGCAAAAACTTTGACTTAGCGATCAACTTGCATGCTAATTGCTTCCAGCAGCATATTTGATGGTTGTTAATAACACAATAAATTTACTTCATTTAAGATAAAATTTGGATTGATCTACCTTTAAAGAAGCCCATTCGTTCACCTTCAGGTCTGGAAATACATTTCTGCCATATGAAAGAATAAACACAGTTGTTGTTTATAGTATGAAGTAATAGAAGTAAAATGAAAATGACCAAAGAACTTGTTAAATCTATAGAACTATATAAAAAGATGCTTTAAGAAATACGAGCTTTTTGTCAGGCTGTGATGATGCACTCCTTTAATCCCAGCATTTGGGAGGCAGAGGCCAGTCTCAAAAAAAAAAAAAAGAAAAGAAAGAAAGAAAAAAAGAAAAAGAAAAAGAAAGAAAGAAAAAACAAAAGAAAGAAAGTGAAATGAGTTTCCCAATACTAAGGTTACAAAGCCAACTTTGAATTGGCTATAGAAGGTTTACAAGACTTTGATATGTGCTTAGATAATGCAATGAGTGAGATTCAGGTCTTGGTGTGTACATAAACTTTCTCAATTCAAACATAGTTTGATACAAAGCCATAATATAAAGTAGTAATGATAATAGGAAGGAAGGATGAAATAGTAAACATGAATATAACATGAACATGATGACATAAACTGAATACAAAGTAAACTTCTACTTATTAGGACATCAAAGATTCCTGAAATATTGTTATAATGGATTTAAATGCATGAGTACTTGAGTTAGTTTAATGCTTCATATATAAAGTATAGCTTATTGACATGGGTTATTTGAGGGGCTAGGGGCATAATTCCTACGGTAGAGCAATTTTCTATAATGAATAGGCCTTGCTGCAAACAAACACAAAGAATGTGTGTTATAGTCTATACCAAAGAGTTACAATAATTTCTTAAGAAAGAAAGATATTAGCTGCATAAAACTGACCTCATGAGAGTTCATAGTTTGGGATGCTCACTTCTCTAACTCCATCAATTTATAGAATGCTAATATAAATTCAAATTATCTAAGTCAGATTCTGATTTAGTAGGCATGCAATAACTATAATGTTTCTAACATTTAGTTAACTAGGTGACAAAATTGATATACAGGCCATGTATGGAGAACCAGATTCATTACAGGTGTAATTCTTTATTCTTTGGTTTGTTTGTTTTGTTTTGTTTTTCAAGACAGGGTATCTCTGTATTTCTTTAGAGCCTGTCCTGGAACTTGTTCTGTAGACCAGGCTGGACTCACAGAGATCCACCTGCCTCTGGCCCCTGAGTGCTGGGATTAAAGGTGTGCCCCACCAACACCCAGCTATGAGTGTTATTCTTAATATGTGGTCAAACAAATTTAAAAATTCAGCCAAACCTGAAGGTACATACCTATAATTTCAGCAATGGAAGCTGAAGCATGAAGATTCCAAGTTTAAGGACAATCTAGGCAATTTAATGAGACACTGTCTCAAAATAAAAAGTCAAAAGATGACTAGGGATATAGCTCAGTGGTAGAGGGCTTGTCTAGTATGTGAAGTACTAAATTCAGTCTGTAGTACAACAATGAAATAGAATAAAATAATAAAATAAAATCAATGTCCTCTCATAGGAAATGATTTAAATATATATATGGGAAATGAAAATATCTGTCTCTTTTTTATTAGATACTTTTAGAAAAGTCGTAGACCATTTTGGAAGATTGGATATTTTGGTCAATAATGCAGGAGTGAACAATGAGAAAAACTGGGAACAGACACTGCAAATTAATTTGGTAAGCTATATTAACTTCATTTATTCACTAAACTATTCAGTGCCACTACTTTATATATGAAATTTTATTATTATATTTATAGAACATCACTTATGACCTGCCGTATAGAAAAGTGTAAGTTAGCAAAAACTGGCAAATATTCTTTTCATAAATATAAAGATACTTGATATTTGCAATTATGAAAACATGTCTTAAATATTAAAGAAGCAAAATAATGCAGTTCATTAATAATCTGAAATATGTGAATAAGTGAATCTGAAACTTCAGTATCTATAAAGTTTTATTAAGATACAACCCTGCAGTCATTGTTATGTATTTTATGTCTGTATTTTTTTGCAATAATGACAGACTGAATGTTATGGCAAAAACCTTATGGCTTGCAATGCTAAAAATATTAACTGTTTGGTCCTTAACCATGACTCAAATAATTTATTTGATAAACAAGTCTTAAATTCTTGAAATAGATCAGAAAAAACAAGGTTAAAGAGACAATTGTATCTTATTTTTAAAGTGATTTTTGTCCTGAAATTCAGTAATTCAGTGTGTGTGTGAGTGTGAACAAGAATGTTCTTGTGTGTGATATCCACATTTGAAGATGAGTTAGTTCTAAAGTAAATAATGAGTAAAATTTTAAAATTAGAGTTTTCAATTTATCCAATGTTGTACAAGTAGATAGATTATAACATTTTATGAACACCCTCAACATAAGGCTATTGCAGTTTAATAAAACCCAAACCTTTCCCCAGCATTGCAAGAAAACAAGAACAAAAACAAAACATAAGAGGTGTGTAGCTAAAACAAAATGTCAGATGGATTTTATACAGGGCCACCATACCTTGGCTCAAGTTATTATAAATTTGCAAAGCAGCCAAGCATCAAGTAGAGCACAGTGACTTGGTGTGTGGGAATATAGTGTACTTAGTGTACTATTTCATGACTTTCTTCCTGGGGATAATAAGCTTAAAAATTGGAGAGATGGCTCAGCCATTTAAGAGCATGGTTTTTGTTCCATTTTGTCTTGTTCTCCTGATAACTGAGTTCAGGGGTTATATATACAAACAGATATTATGCCATTGCCGTACATTCATCTGCAATGCATCCTCTTGAGAAACCCCATACAGCATAGTCCCACCATTCTCATAAAAATCTACATTAGATTATAACTGTTTTCAGATATATAATTCATGCCAGCACAAGTTAAGTTCTTTGAAGACAGAAAATTACTTTTTGTGTTCTTACTGAGTCTTGTACTAATTCATATGTCATAGTTGAATACGCACCTCTGTGTTTTATTAAAGTCTCTTGTGATTTGCCAAACCATTACTTACTGTTCTTTTTTACCCTCATGATTACACCAGTCTTCCCACATAGGAAAAGCACGCATTCTACTGTCTCATAAGTCAATTTTGATTTTCTGCCTTTATCTAAAAGCAATGCCAGGGTCATGTGTAATCCCTCAGAGCTCATGAGGAATGTCCTAGATAAAATGAATGTTTGCAAAATTCACAAATGATTGTTCTGGCAGTAGATCAATGGTAGGCAATAAATCCATGACAACAGATCAATAGATCAGGAGGATCCATTGAGGACCAGGAGGTACAAGGAAAAAGTATAATATCTGTTTCATATATATGAACCCTGAACTCAGTCCTCAGGAGAAAACCAAAACAAAACAGTGCTCTTAATGGCTGAACCATCTCTCCAGCCCCATCTAGTTCTTGTTTCTAAGCTTGTTATCTCCTGGGAAAAATAAAATAGTACTATACATCTTCACACATGAAGTTACTGTTTTTTACTTAATGCTTAGCTGCTTTGCATATTTGTAACAACTTTGATAGGTAGATAGAATTGCTTTGAATATTGGTAAAGCAATTCTACAATGTCATTCTTTTTAACATTTTGAAGCTTTAATCAACAAAAAATTCATCATCATAAATGAGAAAAACAATCTAATTTTGATACATAGTTAACATATATTGAATCCTTTACTATATGCAAATGAAAAGCAAAATATAAAGCTGTTGATGATTTTCTTTCTAGAAATACTAGTTGACTACTAATTTTCTCTGCGGTAGAAAAGGGACATATTTGGAAGTAATCAAAACCTAAGTTTAGTCCTTAATATAACAATCTATGAACTGCTTTTATATCTCTGATTTTGAATTTTATAGTTGTGAAACAAGTTAACTTTCCTACCTCTAACCACCATTAAGCTTAAATGGAACATAATTTGTGTGAAAAATAGAACACCATGTTATGAAAGAGACATTAAATAAAGCATATTTCCCCTCTAGTTATCAGAATATATATTTGTGCATGATCTCCTTTTCACATGAAGTGGATTCAACTGTCTTATTGTTCCTCTAATGAGGAGATGAATTAAGAAATAGGTAAAACTCTTGCTGATTTTTAAAAATAGTTTATTATGCATTCGTCAATGAGAGCTTAAGGAAAAGACAAGATACATGCTGTTTGAGTTAAGTCCACATGGAGGTTAGCCATATGGAAGTCAACAGACACATAGTGGGGAAAATAACATCAGACATAGCATCAAAAATCCAAAAATATTACACAAAGCATACAAGACTCTGTCCAGCACCCAAAGGACAAATGAACAAAATGGAAAAGAAGAATAAAGGAAAATTACTCCTGTCTGAGTCAGGACTCAGAAACATAAGCAGACCCAAACAGACCCTCATGGTGCCCAACTGGGAGCTGCACTTGGGGTGGAAATTCTTGGAGGGAAAAAATACATTATTTCATTAAAGGATGAATTCCCATTGTTCTCAATATGTTTCCTTTTGTTGGCTCTAAAAATATTAAGGGCAAAGAATAACTATTTGCTGCCATTGATACTCTATAACAATGGAAGTTCTAGTTGAAGTATATTAGGAAGACTTTGCTAAATTGCAAGTATCTCTAACAAGGTATAAGACATAATATCTAGCACTAAAACAGAAATCTTAAACATGAAAAATTAAACAGTGAAGGGAATTTCAGAAAAATAATCATCTCTATTAATATTCTTTGGGAATTGGCCTGGAAAAATATAAAGACCCTAAAAAGCTAAGTCACATGATATAGATGCTACAATATTGTCATTACAATGTAGTGTAAGAACCATAAACTATGAAATACCTCAGAGTTGAGGGGAATGAGATGAGGGAAATGAAGAAATGATAGATTGGGAATTTTAGTAGTGAAAAATACAAGTGGATGTCTCTCTGCGTGTGTATGTATGTATGTATACCATGTTATGTGTGTGGTAGAAATCTTGAGAGCAAACAATTAAAATATTACTACCTTTCTAGATGTTTTTGTTACTAGAGAGTTATTCCCAGTACAGAGGAATTGAAAGGAATGGATGTAAGTTAAACCACTGCAATTAGCAAAAACTTCTAATGCTTAGAATAGGTTTTAGTTACAATTTTATTATTATAATATATAATATAACATAAAAGTTGACTATTCATAACCAAAAGTATTGAATGAACATGTTGATTTGATCACTTTGTCAACAGTTCTGTATTTGAAATTAGAGAACCTTTTCTTGAAATCGAGAACAGAATTTTAACTACATTCACAATGTATCTTAAATAATGCCACAGACCCAATTTCTATTCTGTTTCATCCTGAAATGTCACATAATTTTATTTAGATACTTGATTCGATGATTCAATACATAATATATATAAGCATTTCTCAAAACCAAGAAATACTAACAAGAAATATTTCATTCTACGACTTTCCTAAAAGTACATTGTGTGTGTGTGTGTGTGTGTGTGTGTGTGTGTGTGTGTGTGTGTGTGTGTGTGGGTAGTGTGTGAAATCTGGAACAAGAAAAAGATTGTTATATTAAAAAAATGAAAATATCATTTGTACACAACCCAAACATCAGATAATACTTACTTGGCAAAATGCCTTAAATGAATAGAATTTTTTACTTATTTTTGTTTGTTGTTGTTCTAGAAAAAAATTAATCAGAAAAGGAGTTTCCCTGAACACTTACTAAGATAGTACTTTTTAAAATTAAAAGAGTGCAAACACTAATATGCGCTCTTAGTTTCAGACTCATGGCCTTTTGACCTCCTGTGCATATCTGTAAAGTATAGATATTGCAAGAATTAAGATGTCCAAAGTGATTTTTTTATTTTTGAAAAACTTAATCAGAAATAGAGAAAAGTTATTTTGAAGAATAGTAAATTCTTAGAAGTTAGAGTAAAAGTGAAAGAGTTTCCACTGAAGGAGACGACCATGAAAACAGTAGATTATCAGAATGAAACCATCAGTGAGATGGTATTATATATGTCTAAAGACTGTGTCCTTGTAACAGAAACTCTTCACTCCAACTAGAACTAGGAAAGAGTTATGTGATTTCCCCCAACCAAAGGGCTTGGGATTATCCCATACTGTTGATCAGTGCTGTCATCAGTCTAGTCTCTCTTCACTCATCAACCTGCCATCTTTTACTCAAGTTTCATCTTCATGAAACTAGTAGTATGGCCATGCTTCACAGTGACTGAACATTCACTAAGCAATGTTAAAGGAATAATGTAGACATTATTTTTTCATATCATTCTTAAAAACAACAAGAAAAACTTTCGCTAGTTCCCATTCTTCATCTCCATCTTCCCATCCTCAGGTCTCACTAGGAATACCTAGCTCATAATCTAGTTCCCCAACACAGCACTATAAAGGAGGGTGGAATTTCCCAGACTAAATTACATCAGCCGGTGATATAGAGAGGTGATTGTAGAGAGGTCACTGTTGTGGTCCATGGAGAAGACATATACAGATGTAAAATACATAGCTTATGCCTGTAATCTTAGCACAAAGGAGTCTCTTCAACAAGTGGTACTCAAAGGACTGGTGATATACATATAGAGAATTAGGTTAGATTTTTGTCCTTCACCCTGTATAAAAACCCATTCAAAATGTTTCTGAGACTTTATGTAAAACCTAAAACTATAAAACTCTTAGAAGAAAATACTCATCCAAGACTTAAAGATACACACATAGGGAAAAGCTCTCTGAAAAGGACTCCAGTCCTTGGGAAATAATAGTAATAACTGACAAGGAAGAGCTGTGAAAGTCAAAATTTCTGCACAGCAAAATAAACAACTGAGTGAAGAGGCAGTCTACAGAATGAGGAAAATTACTTCCTAACTGTTTATCAAAAGGAGGATTAGTAACAAGAATATATAAAGAACTTGATATGTCCTAATAAGTTGATTTTGTTTATTCACTAGGGTGCTCTAAAAATATTCTTGATGGTTTTGTTTTATTTTTATTAATTTATTAATTTATTAATTGTTTTGATTTCATAACATAGCAGTTTGATAAAAATCTACTCCAATCTGTCTTCTCCAACCCCTCACACCCCTACCATTTCTCCCTGCTGCACTCACAGCAGCTATGGTCACCTGCACAAGATCAAGCCAGCCAGCATTCCTGCACTGATCATGGAGGAACCCACAGTGTGGTTGATAAGTCTGCACTGCCTCATGTTGCTTGCCTTAGTAAATAAGACTTGTGATAAACCTTGTAACCAAGGTAATCATTTGCTTTGAAGTCAATTAAACTGGTGTACTGAATACTCAACTTGTTTGATTTAGCTTGCCTTTAATAAATACAACATAACCACTTAAGAAAAAAACTCAGAAGAAATAAAGCACAATCTCAAAGTAAAAAATCAAAAGTAAACTAACAATTCTCAAACTTCTAACATTCTTAGCTACCAGGAAAATGAAATCGACACAAAGTCAAAAGAAAGTAAATGAAATAATGTTTACAAGGATGTAAGGCAAAGGGAGATTTTATATACTGGTGATAATATACATGCTTGCAACTGAAAATTCAGTTTTCTCTAAGGGATTCTAATCAAAGAAACAAATTACTCTTAAGGGTAGGCTGCATGCCCAGAAGTAGATATGCCCAACAATGTTAAGTGAAATTATATGGAAATATGATAACCTACACTAATGTTAGGAAGGTGAAAAAAGAAATCAGGATCAATTAAAATTTTAAAGCATGCAAAAACTCATATTGATTAAACTTGCAGATATTCCTATATACCTGAGTCATCAACGTGTTTGGTATGCAGAAGTATGATAAAGACTAATAACTGTCAACTTTGTTGACTCCCCATGGGAGGCTGGTGGGTTGGGGGGAGAATGTGGAGGGGAGATTGTACTGTGGTTGGTATGTTAGATGAATTTTAAAAAAGACTAATAGTTGTATCACTTTTTCCATTATTGTTTCTGGATTAGGTTTCTGTTATCAGTGGAACCTACCTTGGTTTGGATTACATGAGTAAGCAAAATGGAGGTGAAGGTGGTGTCATCATCAATATGTCTTCACTGGCAGGTAAGAAAAAAAATCTTATTTTAACAGGAAATTTTTCTTATTGGTAGTTTGGATCAGAAAAGTAAATCTGTGAGATATATAAATCATCAAAACAAGATTGAATTGAATCTGATTTTTTTTGTTTTCTTAGTGATTCTTTATATTTTTCTACACATAATATAAAAAAATTGAAAAATGTATATGTTACTTCTTCTCGAAGTGATCTTTACAGTGGTATTGCTTCGTGTGTGTGTGTGTGTGTGTGTGTGTGTGTGAGTGTGTGTGTGTCTGTGTCTGTGTCTGTGTGTTTCCAGCTACTATTTTACAAATATTACTTTAATACTTCCAAATAGTAATACATGTGTGAAAACATTTGACAAAATAAAAACTACTAATGTGATACACACTATCTCTGGGCCCTCTGTGAATTTAGTAAGCATGTAATATTTTAGGACTTAACATCATCTATACTGGTTGGTGTATGCTAAGCTATTAAGCAATATCCAAACACACCCTTGTTTCAAGATATAATGAGTTTGGACAACATCTACATATTATCAAGAGCAAGACTTTTAGTACTGGGTGCCTAGTCTATATACAGAAATTTGGAAGAACCTGGTCTCACCTTTGTCATGCAGCTTCTGGAGTTGCTCTGCAGTTGGCAGACTCCACTCCGTCCAGTACAAGGAAGGCAGGCACATGGAGAATGCATCACTGCTTTTCCACTTCCTCCTTCCCAAGCCTTGGCAGACATTGTTGTGCTTCCACTACAGTACAAAATTTGACCTCCCTGTTCATCTAGCTACTTGAAATACCTTGGAAAATATACTTCAATTGTACATGCAAGAAAAATGGTTTCAGTGGACAGCTGTTCCTTTGCCATACTGAAGTCTAAAGAATTGAAGCTACACAAGTAATCCAAAAGTGGTTTTCATTCAGAGTAAAGTTGTTTAATGTCAGCTAATTACTTTATTCTTCAATGGTAGACACTAATGTGTGGAGCAACTCAGTTATGTAACTACACTTTTAAAACTCCAGTCAAAGATGGATATGTTGGAGAAACTGAAATAGAAGGAAAGAACGAGGGCATAGAGCAAGACATAGAGAAGGCATAGAGAAGGTTGCCAGTGAAGTCATAACTTTTTTTTTAAATTTTTTTATTTAATATAACCAAGACATTTAAATGAAATCAAACATTTATAGACAATATTTGGGAATTTGGGTCGTTCTTTCCAAACTACTTCCTGCTGGTAAGGGGCACTGTCATGGGGGATTCTAAGAAGATGCAGAAATCCTGGCTGTAGTCTGTAAGGCTGTTTTGTCCAGCTGTTTTGAATGTAGGATCACCTGGTACTCTGTTTCAGGCGGTCTGGCTTGATCAAACCACATTAGTCTGGAAGGAATCCACATCTTTTCATTTTCTGTGGAAACAAAAATAGAAATCCTTTTCCCCAGTAACTTGTCCTTGAACTTAAATTTTGGAGTCAAAGCATTTTTTTTAATTTAATTTATTATTTTACATGTCGATCCCAGTTCCCTCTCCCACCCTCCCTCTCTCCCTCTCTGCCCTCTCACATGCACTCTAACCACCCTCCCCTCCCATCCTCCCACCCCAATTCCACATGTAGGGGAATGTCATCCAGTTGGGGTCATGTAGTTCTGACAGGTCATGTGAAGTAGGGACTAGGGCTTCTTTCCTGTCTCTAGCTTAAGGCTGTTATCCCTCCATGGTGGATGTGTTCTCAAGGTCCTTTTGTGCACCAGGGATACATCCTGGCTCCACTGTCTAAGGTCCCTTAGACTGCTCAGTCCTTCTGGCTGAGACCCATATTCAGGGGGGCCTGAGTCAGTCCCAAGCTGGCTTCCCAACTATCAGTCTGGTGGCCCGTTAGCTCCTCCTTGTTCAGGTAAGCTGTCTGTATGTGTTTCTGCCAACTGGTCTTGTCCTCTCCATCTGCATCTGGGTTCTACTTTGATTCAGTGTTTATGTATGGGTGTTTGCTCCTGGTTCCAACAGGCATTAGTTGAGGGCTCCATGGATAAGTTAGTTGTTGATATCACTCTCCAGGAAGGGCATTTATGGTAGCTTTTCCACAATTTGAATTGTTAGTTGGGAGCAGTCTTGTAGTTCTCTAGACCTTCCTTTGTGTTCAATTTTATCTTCAACCCAATATTGGCTCCCTCTTTTATGTTCTCTCTCTCTCTCTCTCTCTCTCTCTCTCTCTCTCTCTCTCTCTCTCTCTCTCTCTCTCTCTCTCCTGTCTTCTATTCCTAACCGGGCTCAATAACATTTAAGAAACTTGATCACTATTGGTATAAACTCTGCATGTTCAACACATAAGGAGACCTTAAATTTCCTGCTTGGTCTCAATGTAGTAACTTCAGGACAAGAATGCACACACACACACACACACACACACACACACACACACACACACCAACAGTAACAGGGGTGTCAGGAGTGGCCAGCAGTAGTAATTTGGATGTATCTATGACTCAGTCAATCCCTGATTCTCATTATCAGTATTTTGAAAATTCCTCCAAGAATTATAAAAGCACCATGCATTTTTATAAATATCCATCTTTAGGAACTCTGAAATGAGACTGACATCTCATGTTTTGGGTTGCTTAAAGTGAAAATGACACCCTAATGTGGTTACAAACCTAATTTATAAAGCATTAAGGATAATTGGGTTACCTTTGCCCTATGGCATCTACTTAAAAACAGCAATGCTTCAATTCTAAGGACACACTAAAAGACCCTGTCCCAAATGTTACTTTTAAATAAAATGAGAGAGGTGAGATTGGCGAGTTGGCTCAGCAACTGCTCTTGCTTGGATCATAGTTCCCAGCAGCCTCATCAGAGTGCTCACAGTAATTTGTAACTCCACCTCCAGAGGATCTAATGACCTATTTTAGCCCCTGCAGGCACCTAAAAGCAAACAGAGCTCTAGCGCTCTCTCTCTCTCTCTCTCTCTCTCTCTCTCACTCTCTCTCTTTCTCTCTCTCATACACACACACATGCACTCTCTCTCTTTTTCTCACACATGCACACACACACACACACACACACACACACACACCCCTAAAAATAAAAATGACTCTGTATAAAAATAAATGAGATGGGAAGCCTGGAGTTATAGATCAATAGTAGAGTGTTTCCTTCGTATGCCTGAAGGTTCATACTAGGTTCAATTCCTAGTATGAGAAAGAGAACAAGAGAGAGAGAGAAACAGGGAAAGTATTCTGTGGATAGTCTCTATACAGCCAACTGAGTCGGCAAAGCTTGCAAACCATGGGTACTGCAGAAATATATATAGGTCCTCTTATCTTTGTGATAGTGAAAGTCTTGGGTACTTCTTAGAAAGCTTGGAATGGTTGACCCAGTTCAGCACTCTACGATAAATATTATGTACTATATAAATTAACTTAAATGCTTCAAAGAGCAGTAATAGGGAGAGATACAAGATAACATTACTGTTATTTTTCCAGGTAAAATATTTAAACACACAACCGGGAGCACTTGTTGAACATTAATTCTTTATTCATGTATTAGCTCTATTTCAGTATAATCAAATACCTGAGATAATTCACTCAAAAAGAAAAAGACTTAAAGGAAATAGGCCAGAACTGAATTCTAGAAGTTGTAGACCAGCTTGAGCAGATAGGGCCTTGAATCTGCTTATATGGGGAATGCATTTTGGAGGAGTGTGTGATTGATCAGAACAATAATATAACAATCCCTAACTATCAGGGTCCTCCAGTGTCAATCATGGGCATGTCCCCAGTGACCTCTTCAAGGTCTCCTCCTAAAGGATTTACTATCTCTCAGTAGCACCATCCTCAGGATCATATCCTTTACACATTAACCTCCAGAGGACATTGAGCAACCAGACTATGGCAATTTGGTAATCTCATAAACACTATGTTTGCCGTCTCCTCTAGTTCCAAACTTATACCTGTGAAAAAGAGTCCGTAGCCTCTGCTATGGACATAAGGGCAAGGCCAAATAGTTAAGTGCTATATTCCAGCCCATGCAGCCAATGCACAGCAGTGCTGGTATTCCCACCTGAAGTCTGATGCAAAACATATGAAATTCTAACCCTTCCTCATTACCTGTCTCAGATATACATGGATTATGAGTCTACCTCTGTATCCAAGATTATGAGCTTATGAAGACCATAAAGGAAACTGAAATCCTGCCTTGAATAAATCTCTTCACTTTGCTGGTTCCTCCAGGACTCATGGAGGTGGCAGGGAGGGTACTCTAATCTCCAGGCTGTGAAACTTCAGCTTTCCCTTCTTTGACACAGTGTCATCAAGAGGCCCTCAATCTAATGTTCATTTTGCTTTCTTGGCTAAGAATTGTGTTCATCATATCACACACCCTTGGAATTAGTTTTTTGTTTGTTTATTTTGTTTTTTTGTTTTTGTTTTTGTTTTGTTTGTTTGTTTTTTCCTATTTGAGACACAAGATCTACAACTATGTATGAATTTTTGTTCCTGAAGGTACTGTGGATTAGTAGAAATTCAATTGTTTTGGTTTTAAATTAACTTTCTAGCCCATAATGATGTTATTCCAAACTCCTTCTCCCATTGATTTTCATCCTAACATATAAGACACTGCATTTCAAAAGACTAAGCAATGGACTAACCTTCTCTCTGTCCACTCTGCACAGTTCTCAGCCTTCTCCTGTTGTCCTCTGCTCAACCAATGCAGCCTCCATACCTAGCATGCTTTATATCATTTCCTCATTTTCATTAGCCAGTCTCCTGCTACCACTCTTTCCACCCAGAGCTCTCCATAACATGACATCATCACTAAAGTTTTAAAGCAGTCTTGTATTTTATCAAATAATGCCTAACTCATACACAATAAGAGCATTTGATAAAATTTCAGAGTGTAATCTGAACATTTTAGAGGAGAAGACAGAAGGATGGCCAGTCTGAAGACAGTTAAGCTCCATATTGAGACCCTTGTCTCAAGGGGGCAAAAAAGTTTAAGCATGTAACCTCAATAG